TCTCAAAAATCTTCAGAAGCAGGGGGAAATATAATGAAAACACTAATGCAATAACTATTCAGGTAACTGAAGTACCAATGTCCCAGAATAATTCCATGGCCAATTCTTTCCAGCAACAACTGACATAAAATTGATGATTTATGTATAAATCCATGTGAACATATATTGCCTTTAAGTACTCATAAAAATCTTTTTGTGGAGCCTCAGAAACGTGCTTACTTCAAGTGAAGATGGAGTCAGTCATGTGACATTGTAAGTTTTATGCAGAAAGAAACAATTAAGAGCAGCCTCTTTTCACAATCCAAACCCCACCACTCGATGCCCACACCACCAGCTGTAATTGATGAAAGTAAGCCTACTACAACAGTTATCAGCCTACCCTTTAGTCTTTGATGTGTTTTTGCTGGTGGGTGTGGTATGGAGTATTTCAAGTTAGACTTTAAAAACAGACTAACAACGGAAAAAACAGCAGTTTTCTTGAATGCTGCAAAGAGAAAATAGGCGTTAATGATAGATTTCTGCCAAAACTGGGAAAATACTTACAGCGCTGATATCTGCTGCTGCTCTTATCTTCTCTTCCCACAGTGGAGTGCTCTGTCCCCACCCACAAGGACTCAGAAAAGCAAAATACTGTCAGTCATCCCAGCCACAAACATATCAGCTCCACCCTCTTCTCAAATCAGATGCCTTCTAAATGACAGCCTGTAATACCTCAACCTAAATACAGTATGACATAGAAGATGAGAAAACAGGCAAATTTATTCATAAAAATTTCTACCTTGTCAACCTTTGTAGAATAATGCTTCTCTTTACACAGATTCCTTCTTACTTGAAAGCAGCATGCAAAAATAATGAAAAAACCTTCCTTTAAACAAACTGATACGATATTTAAAGACATAGGAAGCACTGAGCCTACAAGATAAAGTCTTCAGAATACCCTCAAGAACGTAAGAAAGTCTGAATGCTACTGACTCCTGACTAGTAGTGCCAACTGTAGAGGAAACTTAGTGTGCAGAATCTCACAAGACCTCCCACACCTAAGTGACCACAACAATAAAACCAACTAAGGCTGAGATGGGCTAGCAGCGACACTAACCTGCAGAGTCACACCTAGGGACCCCCTGGAACATCTGCTGGACTCCCCATCAGGTCTGTGTCTGAAAGACTTAGTGTGAGAAGCTGGTCCAAGGTGGGGGCTGACTTATACTCTAGTGCTGAGTACTAGGGAGAGAATGGAAACAGAATTGTACTTTAATAGTAAAGATCCACAATTTATATGATTCTAGACTAATAGATTTACAGTTTAAAAATATAATAAATAATGTAACTCAGTAATAGTGGTGTGGTTTATTACCCACTATTCCATTGAGTTTTTTCACTGGGTGACTGTGGTGGTTTCACCCCCAGGTAGGACCATGGGGTCCTGCACTCACTTCCCCCACCCAGTGAGATGGGACAAGAATCACAACAAAGGGGGCACAGGATTAGGAATGAAGGACAGGGACAGCTCACTCACCAGTTATGGTCATGGGCAAAACAAACTCAACTTGGGGAAGAAAAATCAATTTAATTAATTACCAGTCATCCGAGTGCCACAGTGAGACAGAACAACCACACCTCACACCACCCCTCCCTTCTTCCCAGGTTCAAATCACTTTACTCCCGATGTCTCTACCTTCCCCCTCCAGCAGCACAGGGGGCAGGGAATGGGGGTTCAGTCAGTTCACCTCTGCTGCTCTTCCCAGCATGGAAGCCCAGGAAGTCCAGAGCAAGCTTCCCATGGAGTCATGGACCTCTTTGGGGCTCAGCTCCTGGGTCCATCATGGGCACGTCCACAGACATCCCCCCCCAAACCCAACACAGTGACTTCATAAACATTATAACCTTTTGAATCAATTGCATCTAAAGCCTGTAACCTACCTCAAAGTACGAGCATCACACCTAACATACGGCTTTGCAGACAAACACGTTCCAGTCTCAGGCCACGCGTGTTTATCTGTACTGCTGTCCCAGCTCTCAGCCATCAGAAAGAGGGCACAAGAGCAGTTTTCATTTAACACAGTTCTGTTAATAAATTAACAAATAAATCCTTTGCTTCACTTAAGCATAAGAAATCTCAACTCTGAAGATGTGGGTAGAACTTACCTTGGGGTCAAACCACACTCTTGGACATCCCATGTGGAATAAGCAAGATCTTTTCTAAGTCCCTAAACAGTAAGCATTAGGCAAGGCAGGAACAGTCAAGTACTTCAGAAACCAAGAAATGATGGTGAAGTGATACTTACCCATGCATTCATAAGGAAAGGTAGAAGCCATAGCTCACTAACAATTTCATAAATGAAACACATGCAGGATAAAAACACACTGCAACCTGTGATTTTTTTTGTTTTCTTGCTCTGCACAAATTGCTTTAGAGTTGGGTTGCAATATTCTGAGACAGCTGCAGGTTTACAGTCATGGAAAGCAGAGGCTTTGGCTATTCTGGCACCAGTTTGGGGGACTGCCACGTGACTTTTGCACAGCAGTGTTTTGGGTTGGGGGAAGCGGCTACAGTGATGGCCCCTGGGAGAAGCTTCACAAAGCTCCCCCGGCCCCAAGATGACCGGCCTCCAGCCCAACCTGATACAATTAGCAACAGAGAAACGCCTCTTCAAATCCGTATTTATGAGGGGAAGGACTGGTTTTGAAAAGAAGGTGGTGGAGAGAACCTGGAGGAGAGGCCTTTGACCTGAAAAAAAGACGACAATCAGCCTAAACAGAGAGCTTTGTTGTCATGAGGAAGGAGGAGGAGGGGAAGGACAGAGAACCTCAGACACCCAGTTCAACCCCATGGAGTAGGAGAAGGTAAATTAGGTCCCTGCAGCCCGTGGAAGTTTAACAGCAGAGCAAATACCCACGTGTGGAGCAGGAAGCTATGCCTGAGGGCAGGTGTGACTGAATTGAGACTCCAGAGATGCTCATTGCCAGAGCGTGCGGAGGGAACCCCCAGAGCTCGGAGGAGGACAAGGTGCGCCAGACCCGAGACCCATTTCAAGCTTGTAGAACCACACAGTTTGGAATTACTGAGGTAGCTGAGGAAAAACCTGGATAGAACACTTACATGCTTATATTTACTAGCTCAGTGCATTCTGCATATACTGTTACTTAATAAAAAAACAATCCAGAGAGGAGAACTGGATCCATACTGTTGTCATCAACTCATTTCTCATGGATACAGCTGTCATGTCCAGCACAACACACTGTTTTCACAATGGAAGCTCTCTCTTCTTAAGAGGGAACCTAAGTTTCATGGATGTTTTGGTTTGCTGTTTTTAAGTAATAAAATGGCTGAAGAACACAAAAAAAAAAGCTCAGTTACTTGTACACGTTTAAGGTTTCTAGTTTAACTACAGAAAACACCCTGGTGATGATGTCTCAGGAAAAGTCTTACTCCATACAGAGAAATGGTCCAGAAGTGTACAAAATGCTAACATATTGTCAAGGAAATTTATTGAAGTTTTAATACCCCTGAAAAAAGGCAAAACTATGCTCTATCCTGCAATATGACAGCCATTCTCAAGTGCTCTTAGAAAGGAAACATTCCATGGAGCAAATATTACCTGGAACACATGCCACACAAAGACAACAAATCAACACTACACCACCTCCCCAAGTTAAAAGATAGTAACAGAAAACAAACTATCACAACAACAACAAAAAGGTCAAGGACAGAGTAGTAACAAGTCAGTCAGTTTTGACAACTTGAAAATCAACATAAAATCCTCTCCAGTAAAGAAAGACTCCAAATACTAGTTAGAAAAAACAGATTAAGGAAAAAATAAATAAATACCAGAAGGAGATTTTTGTTTTAGCATTCTCTTACAGTAAGAAGCTGAAAGATGACTATTACTGATGTATGAAAACACTATACAACAGATTCTCACGCTTGTATGGCAAACAAAAATCAAGTAACATAATAGAAGTGTACTATCGAGCTTGAACACGTCAATATCTCACACCATCACACAAAACCCAGGCATGGTATTTAACAACAGCCTGTTCAATATTGTCATAAAGTTCCCACATTTTTACTGTAACTTACGAGCAAGCAGCTTTCCTCTCCATAGGCAACATTTCTCACATTATTACATGCACAGACAATCTTGCAAGGACTCGTCAGTTCAGGGATAAAGAAGTCTGTGGGTAGAGGAGTCCAACTAATCTACAAGCACTAATATCTGATGGTTTTTCAGGCAGCCCACAAAAGTTGAAGGAATCTTCTTTCTGGCTACTTCTGTACTACATCACACTATTCTGTTATTTAGAGCTTTTGACACCTTTAAAATGCTTTAAATCCACCACCAAAAATCGTGATTTTCACCAAACAGTTGAGTAGTAACAGCTTGGTAATTCAAAGTTTCATATTTGAAAGTACACAGATTATTTTTTAATCCTTCTAACCACAAACAATATACAGTAAACTACAAGCCACTTGGCAAATCCATGCTAAACAAAAGTCTTAGAATGACCAGCAAAGATGCCTACAATAAAGCACAGATCATTGTTTTTAAAGTGATTCTGTGATTGGTGGGGGTTTTTTTTAAAGAAATCAAACTTTTACTGATTTTTTTTCCTCTTTCTTCAAGTCAGTTATTAAAAAGGTGGGGAAAAGAAGAAATTAATATACAGCAATCCTGAAACTAACAGGAAAAAACATGCTAATAACGCCACAGGGTGTGTGTGGGAGTGGGGGTGAATGAGCAGAAATGAGGTGGCATTAGGGGGCAAAACAAAACAGATTTGCCAAGCCGTTAGATCTATCTATGAGAAAACATCAACTTTTGGAAAAGACTAAACTGTTACAGATGGTTTAATAACTGCATTTCAATTGACAAGAAGCAGTTCTGGAATTATTTTATTGCTGCAAATACAAACCCTACAGTTAAACATTTTATTAACAAGAATTACATTTTACTGCAATAAATCATCCAAACTGACTTGACGTACAGTCTGCCTCACAGTCACTCACTGAACTGTTCAAAATGGGTAGGCTTCACAATCCAGGATCCATAACTATGCTGCTCTAAGTAGCTTTGCAGCAAGTTTTTAGCTTCTTGGTACAATTCAGATTGAATCTGAAATAATAAAAAAAGAAAGATCTTTAAAGACCTCAAGAATGATGGTTACAGAGATCTGTGTTCTTTAACACTAGCTCGTAATAGGCACAAGCACAAACCTTGTAGGAAACAGTATCTACAAATCTTACAGTTCCCTCCATTGCTGACAGCAAGAAAAGTGATGCAGACTCTAAAAGCAAACTCTTTTTTAAATGTTTGGACATCCTAGGACAAGAGTTGTTATTTTTTTTTCCCCAGCATCTTCTCAGTGCCAATAATATCTTTAAATAGAAAATAAACGTTCTCTATCATTCAATGCAAATCTAAACACATAAACAAACAGCCAATTAGCAAGCTATTCTATTTTAAAATAGCTTTTAAAAATGCTCTCTTGCATGTTCTGATGGGAAGTAAAATAAGATACATACTTTATAACAACTTAAGTTTCACATAATTTTGGAAATAAAATACATCTCTTGAACCAAGGAGAGGAAAAAACTGGAAAAGTACAGAGAAGAAAGATAAGCCTACATATGTGTATGGCAGATCCATATTTCGGATGGACAGAAGTGAGTGAACTGTGTTTACAGCAGTCAAGAATCACAGTACCTCCTTCAAGTCATTTCTTTGTATTTTTATACTACAAAGGAAAGTCTGGGACCCAATGCTGTCTTTGGATGAATGATTCCTATTTTCCTACTCCTCTATGACGTAAGAATCCTCCCATAGGAGGAGAAAAATATCTGGCAGAAAAATATCTACATACATATGAAACAAATACAAAAACTGAAGATTGAAATGAACTGATGAACAAAAAAACGCCCAGTCTTTTTAATATGAAACTATCTTATGTGAGGAAAGTGGCCAGCAACCTCCACATGCCGAGACAAAACATGGCAGATTTTCATACAGAATGTTTCAAGATTAATTCAACAGATTAATTTTACTTGAAAACAGCAATTTCAGACACTGTCAGGCAAAGGTTATAGGCAAAAAAGGAGGTAAGAGCGCTCCAGGGGAAGTCTTCAGCAAAATAGAAAGCCATTCCTGGCTATCAAACCAGTGTTGAGAGCAGCCATTAAGAGTCTCCTTACTAAAACTTCCCCTGTCCCCAGACCAGCTCACCTTAGCTTCATGGTACGTTGCAACCTGAAGCAAATCATTCCGTTCAGCTTCTTTAGCAAGCAATCTGAAACGACTGAACATCGCCGCCTTGCAAAGGCGACTGGCCATGTTAACGCCACTTTTGAACGGTGAGCTACAGTCAAAATGAAAAAAAAAAAAGTAAAACTCAGTAAGAAATACACTACAGATATATTTCTTTGATCATTACAAGATTTTTTCCCCCTCTAATGCTTTGTGGTTATGATCACATGATTATACTTCCACTCTCCATGAATCTTTGATCATTACAAGATTTTTTCCCCCTCTTAATGCTTTGTGGTTACGATCACATGATTATTATCACATTATTCCACTCTCCATGAGCAAAGCTAATGCAAATCATTAGCAGCTGTGAGAATTTGAACAAGACAACCAAAAACAATTTCAAAGCAGAATTCATCTGAACTAGGATGCTAATCTGTTTTATGTACTGGGAAAACTAAAACATTTACTACAACAGACAGTGGAATAAAGATACCTCAGTTCAAACAACTGTTTAATGTCACGTCTCGGTATCTAACTGTAAAGTTAAAAGATCTCTAAAACTACATCCAATTATAGGATGCATTCACCTAACACAGGAGAGAATCTCTCATTTGGGTAATACAGTGGACTCCATGTATCACTCAAACAATGAATACTCCAATGAACTGGCCCAAAACAATAAGGCTAACCATTATTAACAAGATAATGAAGAAAAATTCTAACCTTTCAGCAGTTTTGCCAGTTAACCCATCCACAACCTCCAGGGATGCATCTGACAATGACCAATTCAAACTAAGAGACACCTGTTGAAAGTCTGTTTGAACTGGGTATGCAGCATTCACCAAGTAAGTATGAGATCTGTTGACCAGGTAAGGTATGGGAAGCTTTGATGTAAGTTCATCATTAACACGCTGTTTTATAGCTATTTTTAGCCCTCTTATATCCTTGCAATTTCCATTTCCTATTAAATAAAACAAGATCAGTCACATAAGTACATCAAATAATAAAAAAACCCAAACAGCTAAGAATGCAGATGTTTCCATTGGTCTATATTATATTCATTTTTCTACACAAAATTCATGTTTGGAAAATTCAGTTCCAGTATTCTGTTTGCAAAATAAAAATTATTTCACAGTTTCTCTTCCAGAGGCATTATTATTTCCATTGGATGTCTCCTTTCTGGAACAATTATTCTTCATCAACTCTTTATGCTCCTTGCAGAAGACACCATTAAAATAGAAGCTGCAACACAAACTTTGATGTTCTAGATTAGAAAATACGCCAAGGAGTTCACTCACATTACTCTGTATCCAACAGTATTTCTGACTACCTACTAAATAAACATACTTTGGTCCACAGTCTCTCAAGGAAAAGTCATAGAATTTCTATTAAATAGCAGGGCAATACATTATAGATCACTCTTTATTTTGAATCCCACTTAAGTGAGCACATTAAAAGTGCCCAAACTTCCTCAGAAGGAACAGGCAGTGCTTGCAAGATCTTTTGAAGCATTTCAAAGACCTTGTTCTGTGTTAGGAGATGCTGCTACATCTTCAATGTCTGAGGTCCCCAGACATCTGTGTACTAAGACTCATAACACAAATAATGAGAGGAAGAAACACCTGAAAACCTTCAGGATAATACCCATTAATTTAATCCTACCACATAAATAAAAGCTACTGAAATGAGTTCTGTTCATCGTCTGGTCTTCCTGACTGTCACAAAATGCTGAGAATTCCCTATCACCTTGGCAATCCCTGTTCCTCAACAAAACACCTATTTGCATTAACCAACACAAAGTGGGGAGGGCAAGGGGGGCACAGACCATGGACACAACACAAAATTAAATGAAGATTTTTCAACAGAGCTCTTAAGATACCCCATGGTGAAACTGAGCATTTTCAGTTAAACACTGGCAGTTTTTCCACCACTGCTCAATTCTACAGTTAAGGGACTAATGTTGTCACCTTAAAGTCATCACGTTTGACTGAACAGTTAACATAGCCTTTGTTACACTTGGTATTTTGTCAATATCTAAAGTTTTATTTGTTATAAAACAATGCTAAATTTCTTCTGTGACTCTAATACACAGAAAAGGAAGGGTGATCTGTCAAGATCAACTCACAATGACAAAAGAGCAAACCTGAGTTTTACACTGGGGCATTAAAAAGATGAGTGAAGAAAAAAAAAAAAAATACACTTAGTACCTTCTCAGAAAACTATTGTAATTCTTTAAAGAACCATCCTGGTTTAGTTCATGTTTTATAAAATGTAAGGGGCATTAAAAAGATGAGTGAAGAAAAAAAATACACTTAGTACCTTTTCAGAAAACTATTGTAATTCTTTAAAGGACCATACCGGTTTAGTTCATGTTTTATAAAATGTAGTAAAATTGGAACACAAAAACATACAAAAATTCCACTGAAATTTGCATGCAGCTTACCTACAAGAATACTGTTGATATACACTGGTTCAATGAAGTGACTCAGCAACGCTCCCTGAATACCAACCACTTCCCATTTTGTTAATTTGTCACTAGCTGACATACTGCTGACTCGAACAGACTTTGGTGGACAACAGGCAGTCAGGTAAACCTTGCCTTCTACAGCAACATGGAGACTCAGTTCTTCACTAGTTTCGTAAGCAGATATGGATTGTGGATTGAGATGCCTAAAGTAAGACAAGAAAATGAATTTCAGTGTGAAAGTGCTCAGAGATTGTTGTAAAGTGGTAACTAATACTGTTTCTCAGGAAACAATTATCAATAGATCTGGGCTTTACATTATGTTCAGTATTTGTTAATTTTAGAAACACTAAAATTTCAGTGTTTCAGCTGCTTAAGTGACTAGAATACTGAAATCAGTATTTAAATAAGAAATAGAAACTCAGCCTAATCTTAGACAGAAGTTGTGCAAACATTAAAAAGATCAGCATATGCCGCAAACAAGCTACCACTTTGTGTCTACTCACACTATGACAGAAGTTACTCGGAGGCTTTTCATCTTGTGAAAAACCTGCTCTAAGTTTAATGTTTAAAATATAACTTACACTGCAATTCCTCAAAACATTTAAAACAAGCAGATACAACACTGTTGGGAGACAAACCAGTGATTGTTCTGAAGCAAACCAGTTTTCTCCCCTTAACTTAAAGAGGGATAAGAAGTCAAAGCCTGAAGTTTTGAGCCAACTCTCTCCAATTTTGTCATAACTTGCAATGTTATGATCAAAGGTGCTTTTGCTTTGCTACATTATTATAAAGCAACCATTCAGTTTTGGCTTAACTAACATACTACCGCCTGTAGTAAGTCATCACGTTTTGCTACTCAATGGATTACTTGCAAGTAGCTCCCTTCTAAACACTCTCTTTAAATACCTCTACACGTAAGCAAATCTGCTATATTAGAAGAAAATAATTCCCAGCGATTGTCTCAAGAGAGCACACAACAGAACGGACAAAAAGCAAGAGAAAAAGTGCCGAACCTGGGATCCATCAACTATTTGTGAGTGGCTTATAAACTGCATTCACTTCCATCAGCCATTTCCCTGTAAGAGCAGGCTACGACACTGAAAATCACCTAAAACCTTCTGCAATTCTAACAGGGAGGACACCCCCCCAGTCAGCACAGCTTCCAGGGAACTGGCTGTGACTTCCATTTCACAATCTGCCTTATGAACACCCCAAATACAGCATGGAAGCAGCCAGCTCTCTTGTAGATATGAAAAAGTTACAGCTGAATGAATTTCAGGGACATTATTCCACTGCACCGCTAAAAGGGACACAAAATAATGTTGCTCACAGTAACTTGGTAAACCAGAGACTGCTGCTGTTAAATGTCAAAACTGTTTAAAAAAAAAATAATCTTTCAGAAATTTAACAGAAGATAGAAGTGTAAAGATAAGCATAGAAGTGTATTTGTCCCATCGAGTTTCTTCCATTACTTTTCTTCTACAAAGCAGAGCAGGAGCCCGTTGTTTCAATTCAAGACTTTTTATAGCCTAGTCCAGTGGTGCAAAGGATGATGTTAAGTCACCACACCCACTTGCTCAGTGGTTAAATTAATTATTTAGTAGTATTTTAATAGTATCTTGAGAGGGGGGTTAACAGCTAAGTGGATATCTATAACTATTTATTAGTATTTTAATAGTATCTTGAGAGAGGGGTTAACAGCTAAGTGGATATCTGTAATAAACAAGGCATCGCCCTGAAGCTATAACCCACGTATAAGTTTTTGTGTCATCACGTTCAGCTGTATATCATAGACTTACCACTATCACCTTGTTCTTTAATGCTTCCAAAACATGGAAAAAAAAAAAATCAGACTAGTCCCTCCCCCTATCTTAGAAACACGTAACAATGCATATTTTCCACACACACAACATGTTTGTCAATGCAAACAAATTAATCTTCCACTACAACATCTCTAAAGACACCAGGGTACTTACACTTCTGATTTCAACTGAGCAGTGCCTTTTGGAAGCTGATTCATGTAGAGAAAGATAGTTGTATTTTGCTTTAGGGTAAGCAGCTTTGAGGCTGGTGACATGCAAAATATGGATTTCTCTTTCCTCGATGGATTTTCATTATAGAACAGCAAAAGATTTCTATAAAAATATCTAAAAGAAAGCGTTATGTAATGGTAAGTGTAAAAAACACTCCTCTGTTCACAAATACATGGACGTTCACATTTAATCCACGTGATGTGAAAATAATCCAGAAGGTACTAACTATAAAATGCAAGTGCACTTATATTTGCAGAAGTAAAATTGAGAAGAACTGGCTGCAAGAGAACTGGTAACTATTTGTACGCGCATTCTTACCTAAGCAGAGAACGTCTTGCAATAACAATGGCGTGGCTGTCATGCAACACTCGTCCACAAGGCTGGAAGCACTGACTGTAATTACATTCTCCTGTTCCTAGAGCTACAACTTCATGCTGTCCACCTAAAAAGAAAACACTTATTTTTATGTGGTTGTGGTGAGTTAACCTTTTCTGGCTGCCAGGTGCCCACCAAGCTGCTCTCTCACACCCTCTGTCTCCCAGCAGATTGGGCTTGATTATCTTTAAGGTCTTTTCCAACCTAAATGATTCTATGAAAAAAGAAAATCAAGAAGCTCATAGGTCAAGATAAGGACAAGGAGGTGGTTGGCCATTTACCATCATGTGCAAAATAGACTCAACTTGGGGAAGATTAATTTAATTTACTGCCAATTAGAGTAGGATAGCGAGAAACAAAATCAAAACTAAAGCCACCTTTCCCCTACCCCACCTTCCTTCCAGGCTCAACTTCACTCCTGACTCTTCTACCTCCTCTCCTCCCTGCCTGAGAGGCACAGGCATATGGGGAAGCATCAGTTCCCAACACTTTGCCAGTGCCACTCCTTCCTCCTCATGCTCCTTCCCTACTCCAACATGGGGTCCCTCCCACATGATACAGTCCTTCATGAATCACTCTAGCCTGGTTCCTTCTCACGGGCTGCAGTTCTTCAAGAACTGCTCCAGCGTGGGTCCTTTCCACAGACTGCAGTCCTCTAGGAGCAGAATGCTCCAGCGTAAGTCCCCCATGGGGTCACAGGTCCTGCTAGAAGACCTGCTCCAGTGTGGGCTCCTCTCCACAGGCCACAGTTCCTGCCAGAAGCCTGCTCCTGTGTGGGTTTTCCACCACCTGCAGCTTCCTTCAGGGCATATCCACCTGCTCTGGCCTATACAGCCTTACTCCTCCTTGAGACAGTCCAAGGAAACATTTATGTAGGTCTTGAATATCTGCATGGCTGTAGCACAATTATGCATGTGACAGAGCCATCAGAACGAAGTATCTCAAAGAAGGAGAGCTACCCTTTACATTTATTTACCAGATCAGAAACGCATCAATCGAGGCTCTCTGGGAACACAAACAGCCCAGATTTTCCACTCCCCAATACTCACAATCAAAACAGACTTGCCTTTTTCAACGATGAAGGCAGCCAGTGAACTGCCACAACTTTGGTACTCAGGATGTCTGGTAGTCAGGCTGTGAAATACTTCTTCAAGCATTTGTGAAAGTTTTTGATAGGTAAGCTGTCTTCCTTCTAAATAAAACAATAAAAGCCAATAAGACACAAATTTGCAGGAGGGGGGGAAAAACAGACATGATCAACCACTTGCCAAATTATAAAACCAAACACACGGTAAAAGTACTACTATCAACACACACCTCTGGGATTCTGAAGATTATCAGGATGCACATGCATAAATAAAGGACAAGAACACCTAAACACTTTATACTTTTATTATTCATGATAATAAATCAGGGACACAGATCAAGTTTGATCACCTACTCTACACAGTATTTCAAGTAAGGGCAGAAATACTGTTTCTATTTCTGTCACCAAGTCACCACTTAAATACAAGCAATTTACCAAAGCTGTGTCCATTTGTAGAACCAATGGAAAACCTCCTACTTTAGTGTCACTAATTCTTACACTGTTCTTATGGTTAAAAATACAGTAACTTCATAGAGATCACTAAATGTATTAAAAGAAGAGGTGGGGTTTTGTTGTTTTTTTGGGGTTTTTTTTTTATAAAAGGCAAACATTTGCTGGGTAATTTGAATCAAGAGACAAAAACAAAACTATTCCTTACCAAAGCAGAGCCTTGAAACAGGAAAAGAGTTGGTTGGAGTTTGGGGCTCAGGAAGAGCACAGGCAGAACCTAAGAATTTAACAAAATTTCAAACTGGGATGGACATTCCAAATTTCAAAACATGGATCTCGCAATATTCCAGTAAGTTAAAGCTTCTAATTCTTTAAGAATTTTCTTTTCTGATTTTGAAGTCCTTGTAAGCACAGAACTACTTAGGTAGCAATCCATCAAAGACAATAAATGTTACGATAACCGAATTACTTTTAAAGCAGTAACTCAGTGGTGAAGCCTTTTAACCATAAAAATTCAAATCCACTTAGAATCAACTTCATATTGCTGTTACCTCTGTTACCTAGTGAGTAGCAAATCAAGTGCAATAGCAACAAATAAATTAATTCCTTCAGTATTCTCTGCTCTGTGCTACAAATTGATGCAAGTCCTAATACACAAAAGACAAAGACAAAAAAAACCCCAGTTTCAGAATCATAGGACAAATAGCTCTGCCCAAAGGACTCAAGAGAAGTGACAGAGGCCCTGATACAGAAGCCCTTAATGAAAACTACGCAGAGATTTTGCATAGGAAGCCTTTAAGTCGAGCTTTTCAAGATCTAATTAGGTGTTGCTAGAATATTTACCTGACTTTTTAGAAGCCTTTTCCCCTGTATGCTCCAAGTTAAGTAGCTCATCGAGAGCCAGTTTAGCTGCATTTAATTTAGACTCCTTCTTATTTTTTCCCAGTCCAGTCTTGTAGCAAACGCCATCCACCACAGCACAAAAGGCAAAATAAGGCCTTATCATATCGCCTTTAAAGGAGAAAAAAAAATGCAGACACAATTAGGGAAATTATTTTAAGGTACTTTTATCCGTAGCTTTATGTGCTTACATTCATTCCAAAGAAGTGGAAGACAAAAAGACAATTTTAGCAAAATACATCTCACAACTTTCACCTCCACAAGTATTTTGTCAGCTTTCACTTTATACACTTTTCACAAGGTTCTGGTAGCAGTCAGAATATATAACTATTATATATATTATACCATTACACATTATACAATTCACCTGATCAAATCCTGTAGTCATTAATTATGAGACACAGCTGTGCAGACAATAAAAGGGCATCCAAAAAGCAACATATGTGGAGGGTAGTGCAACCAATAATAATAAATAAATAAATAGTTCACTTGTATTAGTGCCATCAATACTAACTGCGAAAATTCAGATCACGTCAAGGATAAGCAAATACTGTTTTATTTAAGGAAAGAAGAAGTATTTACCTGCAATTCTAGATTCTTTCAGTTCAAGTGGAACATGGTGCATTTGTGCAAACTGATGCAAGGCAGATACTGGGTTTATTACTCCCTGTTCATATCTTGCAATAAACTCCTTTAGGTTTTTATTTGGGGTAAGTGCTGATAACTGGGGTGCACGGTCTGCTTTCAAAAGACAAGGTTCTGAAACAAAATTAAGAAAAGAACTGAATACCCTGTCTGGTAGTTTAAATCTGTTTACAGTAAATGCTTTTTAGAAGAACAAAAAGCAAAAACATTTACTCTAGAGCAGTATTGCTTTGCACTGAATCTTACATCAACAATTCTGACACAGCACGTACCTCCTCTTTTAAAAGCATCAAAGCTTTTACTTTGAGTACTAAATCCATTAACCTCTGAATACAGGCAGATGTTCCACATAACTACAACATATATTCCCCCTCCCCTCCCTTGCAAACCAGTGATCAAATCAAAGTTGCTGATGGCAGGTTCCAAACAACATGTGGTTTTGCACACAGAACTACGAAGTAGTGGAACTCCCTCTCACAAGACACTATGAAAGTTTTAGCAATCACACAAATTATTCAAAAAACAGGTAACTCATTCAAAGAAAGAGAAACGCACCCACAAAGAGCCGCTGAATATAAAAATGGCATCTCTGGCTGAGGTGGCCAGGACAGGACAAGGGGAGAGCTGACCCTGCAGGTCCCCCCAGTGCCCACCATTAACCAACCACACCTGGAACCAGCACAGTGAGTGGGTGGATATTTCATCTGTCCTACCACACAGCCCTTACACTCTGCCTAGGGCAATGTGAAGCAAGTTAGTCAAGTCATAAGAGACTTCTATAAATTCTGAGAAATAGTCCTGAGGCAAACACACACTTAGGAGTTTTAATTCAAACGACAAACTCTTCCAAGGAGCACTCTGTATCTGGGCAGTTATCTTTGACTTGGAGCTCTCCTACAGAATAATCAATTAACATTTCCTGCAGCTTCTGTGAAGATTTAAGAAACAAAATGTAATCTCTTCCCCTGCATCAGCTCCAGGATGGATGGAATCTTCATCTTTAGGGTTGCCATATACTCGGGCACAAGTATATCCCAACCAAGAACTAAAATAAACTGTTAATTCCAAGACTCATAAATAGGCACCTTTACCTGAATACAACTGTTTGAAGAGACAGAACTCAAAATACACCCTGGGACACCTGGAACTGCCGTTAGAACTTTTCTCAATGATCTCTATGAAAATTCATACAGCAGTACATACCCTGTATTTGGCAACCTCTACAGCACTTTTAAAGTGCAGCCCGGAATTAAAAATTATGAAAAGGTGCACACTATATACCCACCCTACAACAAATATCTTACTCTAGCAAGCTTCCAGTATGAAATGACAATGGAAGAAGAGGAACAAGTTCAAGCAGATGCTAAAGAAGTCATTTAAGAAAATACAGTGATAACAAAAAGCTGCAGAGACTTGCAACCTTTCAAAAAAGAGAATATCATAGTTACTTTCACTAATGTTAACAGCATATTTAACAGCTAAGCCCAGTTTATAAACTGACAACTATACCTGGATGTTGTGTCACCTTTGGTACACTGCACCCCTCAAAAGGTGGAAGTTTTGGCCTTACAGTCACCGATGGAGAAAGCTTCTCTAAAGCTGGCTGCCTAGGAGCCTGAGCTGGCAAAGTCTTCTTTTGTATGGGGTCAAAGGTGGGCATTCCAGCACCCTGAAACCAGTCACCGCTGCCACTCATTTTTGATCAACCTAAACAAGGTTAACAGCAAAGCTATGAGATGTTAAAGGCATGCTACAAACTCCACTTTTCTTAGTTAAGCCCCTTCAACCTCAGCACTAGGAACAACTCGCACTCTGCTTCACAGAATCATAGAATCCTTTGGTTGGAAAAGACCTTTGAGATCAGCAAGCCCAACCATACCTGTTCACTACTTAACCAGATCTCTGAGCACCCCATCTACCCGTCTGTTAAACACCCCCAGGGATGGTGACTCAACCACCTCCCTGTGCAGCCCGTTCCAGTGCCTGAGAACCCTTTCGGTGAAGAAATTTTTCCTGACACCCAATCTGAACCTCCCCCAGCACAACTTGAGGCCATTTCCTCTTGTTCTACCATCAGTTACCTGGGAGAAAAGACACACACCCGCCTCCCTAAAACCTCCTTTCATATTTTGTCAGAAGGTCTCCCCTCAGCCTCCTCTTCTCCAGGCTGAACAACCCCAGTTCCCTCAGCTGCTCCTCATAACTTGTTCTCCAGCCCTTCACCAGTTTCTTTGCCCTTCCCTACTGACTGGGGCAGAAGAACTGAAAACCCAGTGTCCATCCAACCCCACTTTCCCAGCCAGCACCATGAGGTTCAAAGCCGTTTCTGCGGTTAATTAACCACCTCCCCTCAGGCTTAACACAGCTCTGCACCTCCTCTTGCCACCAGCCCCAAGGACAACAGAACCCCCCACCGGCTTTCAAAGGAGTGAGGGAAAAACTGAAGCAGCAAAGCTCGATCCCTCTCGAGTTTCCAGGAGGAGCTGGTGGCTTTGGTACCTGCTCTGCTCTCGTCTCCGGCACTGTGGTAAATCCCACAGCCGCTGGG